CGATCCCACTGTCCATGTCGCCAACAAAGATCCTCATCACCTTCAGACATAACAACATGGAAGCAGGTAGGTGAGGGTGACTACAACCCTCTGACAGTTAAGACATGTGGCCTATTCTTTCAGAATTGGCAGTCATTGGTTACAAATTTCAAGTTGAGTGTGCTGCAAGAGCTTTTCCCTCCCTCCAGGGTCTCTATAACTGTACCCCATTTCTAAAGCTAGGTTTATTCTGTTTCAGTATGCGATCCAGTGATGGGTGACAAATGGAATGGAGAAGGTTCTATGGTTAGTACTTACCTGTTTGGATTCTCTGTATAGTGAATATTTGCTATGTAAAGATGTATAAAGGTTTATTAATGTTTAAACAGCAAAACTAAGCTACTTACTTACCCTAAGTGTGGCTTTGCATCCCAGCATAAAGTAAGTTTGTACTTTAATTTCCTGTGTTTTGAATGAGTTTAGTATCTGGGAAGAATGATGGCTGCATAGCCCTGGGATTATTTCTAACTCTCTGCTGAGGCAACAGGTGGAATACAGACCTTGCCTTGCAGGAAAATATACCCCTGCTCTCCCTCCTTGTCTCACTGGAGTTCCCTTGTCTTCTGTCAAGAGCTCTGTTTTGGCTGGTAGCCTGGCTGGCATAGTTAGTGATCGTGTGAATTGACATACCGCTTGAACCTAAATTAAAAATGACTTATTCTGTGTGAGATCCAACAGCTGTTAGGCATAGGGCTGTGATCAGTGACAGAAGGGTTCTGTGTGCCAGTTCCAGACTACATACTGACAAAGAAACGTTCATTTTTGATCAAAACTAGCAAATAATTTCAGGAAAAATGCAATGTGGGAAGACATCAGCAATAATGATATTTTATGTTTTCTTCTGCCTTAGCTAGTCATGCACTATGAATTCCTCTTTGTCCTTGTACCTTTTTACAGTTTACCTGCTCATAAAACATCACATGAAGTAGCACTTAGCAATAAATTTGCCATTGCTTTTGTGTTCTATTCTTTCATTTTACATCTATTGCAATATTTATTGTCCTTGGCTTGTTCTAACAAGGCAGAGATCTAGCAGTTGTAGAGTCACCTTGCAAAGCTTTAGCTCTTGGGAGAAGTCATAACCACAGGCCTACCTGTGTCTTTTGGGTGGAAGACAAGGTAAATAGGAGAAGAAGAGAATATTTAACATGCAACCCACTAACTCATTCCTGCCATAAAAAGTAATAGAATCATTATTTAAAATGCCTTGGTTTAGATGTGACCTAGTCTTGCATTTCTGGCTAAAGGCAGAGTCCCTGTGGCCATCGCTTCACCAGGGCTGCATGAGTGAGTTCAGTATCAGTATGACTGGTGTTCTGGTAGCACCTAGTGGTCAACACCGTGGTGGGGTTGTTGAGCTGTTGCTGATACAATTGGATACGATTGGAATGGGATACATTAACACATGTGCACATGTAGGCATGCACCTTGCCCTTCACAGCTTATGAGACTAGTAGAGAAAATAAAACATGGACAAAATGGATATTAAGCCTGATTTAGCAAATGGGGTTCTGCCAAAGAATATCAGCTGCTAGTAAACAGTGAACCTTTATTAAAGGTTTTGTTAAATTGAATTACAGCAGGACTCAGGAAGGTGAGGTGCCCTCTGTACCCATCTAACCCAAACTCCTTAGCTGAGCTCTAGTGTGTGCCAAAACAGCTGATGCTTTTCAGCTTTGAGTCTGAAGAGCATACAGGCTGGTGGGCTCCTGTTAAGTCTTATTGTATGTCACCTGCTCAGACAACCAATCTCCTTTTGCTGGTGGGCCATATTTAGCTAATGCATATGGGACAGAAATGGAACAGACAGGCAGAATGGGGAGCATTGGCCCTCGTTACTTGAAGAGCTGATTCTGCAGGCAGCGAAGTATGCTAGCAGTTTGTTAGACTTGGATGCAACACAAGCAAAATATTTTTAATGTCCTTGTTGGAACTGATTTATAGATTAAATTGTACCAAACAAATTATAAATCTGATTCCCATTTACACATATTGATGTACAACACACCCTAGAAATACTGCGCTGAAAGGAGGAGGTGAAATAATGCATGGCATGGATTTTACTTGTTCTTAAGCCCTGTCAAAACACTACAATCAATGTGAGCACACACTGCCACAGCAAAAGGCCTCTGTACTGTCAGTACAACAACAAAGTAGTTTATTTAGGATGTAAGGACATGAGAAAGGATTCCCTGTGTTGGGACACTGTATTTCCTCATGCTGCTGTGTCACCTTGGTGAGAGGGGACCCAAAAGTTCTTCGTCCAGACACTGCTTCCTTTTAATGCTGCCAGTTTGGGCCTGTCTGCTTAGCAGGGCTTCCCATGGCCTCCAGTGGAAGAAGGGCTGTTGGTTGTACTGTCACCAACTGTAGGATGCACTGCCACTGTAGTTACTGCTGTGTAACAGTACATTGGGAGCTGTCAGGTTGCTCAGTGACAGCACGAATGATAGGTGCGGGAAGGAGAGTTGCAGTCCCACATCTCAGATGCTGCTGACAACGTTTGATACTGTTTTTTGTCCCCTAGTATGTGCCCAAGGATCTCCTCCCAGTCTACAGGGACAAAGTTGTACCTGTTGCTGATATAATTACTCCTAACCAGTTTGAAGCTGAGTAAGTATTTATTTCCTTTTATAGCCAAATAAACTTGGGGATAAAAGCAGGGGAGACTGCTACTTATTCTTTTATTGGTCTCAGTACAGTGCCGTATGTGTGTACATATGTGTTGCGTTTTGGTTTTTAGCTCCTGCTTTCAAGTGGTGCTTTTCAGCAAACCTCCAACTGTTCCATATTGAAACCAGTAAAAAATCTGGGAGTTATGTGAGGAAAAGATTTCTCTTGGTTTTTCCGGTCTCTCATTTTCATGATTACTTCTTACTGTCTCCAGAGGGCTGTATCTAGGGGAGGTTGAAAAAATATTTCTCTTCCCATCCCCGACCTTACCCATTCCCAGGAAAAAATGTATTATATGTCAGAATATCAAAACCAAAATAGTTTGAATCAAACCTCCAAAACTAGATTCAGAAATACCGCCATGGCAACATCTCATAGGAGTTAGGAATATAAATGCCTCCTGCCTATCCTGTCTACATAGGTGTGCCTCTTCGGTCAGGAGATTATCTGTTGTGATGCATCACAGGCTGTTCCCCTTAGGGGAGGGAGCAGCTACATGGGAGATGGAGAGAAGACACTTTTGAGGGAATTTTATGATACAGGGATCTTTGCAGGAGGCAGGTTAGGACTGGTGTGAGTCTGCTTCAGAAGCACTGCGTATCTGTGCACGTAACTTACAGACAGTGGTCTGGTACAGCAGACCATGTAGCTACAAACTGCTTAGGTCTGTATGGTGCAGTCCAAGCTTTCCTTCTTTCAAAGAGTAAATTAAGCTGGAGAGCTTGTGCTCTTTTAAGATTTCTGTTTCATTCTCAGGTTACTCACGGGCAGGAAGATTCACACAGAAAAAGAAGCTTTAGAGGTAAGTACACGAGGGGTAGGATGTGTAAGGCCTCTTTCTGTATTCCTGCCTGCAATGCTGCAGTTTGCCATTTGTCTTTAACCTTGAAGTCACTTTGGCCTCTATCCTTTCTCTCCATTTATCATTAAAGCTTGTGCACTCCAGGCGCAAAATACTTTCTCTTTCCCAAAAGAAAGGCAGATAAAGGCATTACAGTGGTAATGAGTACATCTCTGTGAGTTCGTTCTCCTGCAGTGTAAGAAGGGTAGCAGCAGCACACATGGCAAGTAACCGCACTCTGCCAGCGCTGTGGAAATGCACTGGTAGGGTGAAAACCCAGGGTGACCCTGAGCATCCGAAACCTGCACGAGTTGCTCCCTCTGCTGTTGCACTCCAAGCGCAAAATACTTTCTCTTCTAGTGTCAGACTTTGGAAGAAACTTCCCAAAAGAAAGGCAGATAAAGGCATTACAGTGGTAATGAGTACATCTCTGTGAGCTCGTTCTCCTGCAGTGTAAGAAGGGTAGCAGCAGCACACATGGCAAGTAACCGCACTCTGCCAGCGCTGTGGAAATGCACTGGTAGGGTGAAAACCCAGGGTGACCCTGGGCATCCGAAACCTGCACGAGTTGCTCCCTCTGCTGTCCACATGCGAGTCGTGCAGCAGCAACGCTGGGTGCTAGGGCAGCCGCTTCCCATCCTCCCGTGCAGACTGTTTGCAATGAAGATGGACAACTAGGAAACTCTTCCAAGGATTGATTGAATATACTCTGAATCTCTTCCTGATGGTGTTTGCTGGAGCTCTGTTTTTCTTCCTTAAATTGACTCAAAGGGGATGAGACCTGGGTTGCAAAAGGATAGATTGCGTAGATGAGGAACCATGCTGGGAGTGATGGCCTTCGGGTACCTGCTGGTGAAAGACAGACAAATCCACAGCATTGATAGCTGCTGTCATCGCCATACGGAGACAACAGATGATCCACAAATATACCACATTGAGGTGTAAGGATTTACCCTTTTACACAAACTGAAGAAAATAAAAGCTGCAGGGCTTGGTGATGAAGGACAAAATAGGAATATGGTTTTATTGATGTCTTGAGAAGGGCTGAGCTCTTTGTTTTGTTGACTAGTCAAGTGCTTTCATAATGGACTGATGTTATTTCTTCCAGTTTGGTTTTGAACTTCAAAGGAACACAAAATCTTTAAACAAACAGCAGCTGTAGTGGCATCCTGGAGAGTAGCTGGGGTCTGTCAGCCCAAATGTTTGTTGTTTCAACATGGGTTGATTACCATCTCTTCATGGCAGGAAGCAGGTCCAAAGATTTCAACTCTTAATTTCTACCCCCCTGTCCCCTCCCATTTTACATTACCCCAGTGTGTTGGGCAAGGGTGATAAACTGTGCTTCATGCCACTAGCTGCTAACTACACCTCAGTTCTTCTATTCTCATCCTCACTAGTGGAACCACAGTCTTGAGAACAACACTGTTAGCTGAGCAGCCATTAGGTTTAGGTTTGCATATTTTGGCTGCAAACATGAGTTGCACGTGCTAAACAATTTTACAAGTTAGTTTTCTGACAGCCTGTCTGATTCATGTGATAGCTCTTAATTGTGATGGGTTTTAAAAAATCTCTTCTAAAGAGATAGAATTATACTTAGGAATAGAAACATTTTTAAAATAATTGCTTGCAGGACATTATATTTTAATCTGTCTGTCTCCCCAGCTGCATGTCATATATAGGTCTGTCCTTCTGAGTAATAATCCATGCTGGAATTTGTCCCCTTTGGAGGTGGTAGGAATTCTGGCATCAGTTTCCATGGTGACATGCTTTCATTCATTTCTCTAGCAAGACTAGTGATGACAGTATAGTCTTCTAACATAAAATTAAATATAATATTAATGTAGAAGGGGCTAAGTCCTACAACTAGAAATAGTGTGATTAGGCTCTTTGTGAATTGTGACTCAGAAATGAAACTGAGCTTAATATTACTTCACAGGTTGATTGAGTCAGCATATGCTAGTGGATTTACTGCTGCTTTAAAACCCAACTTGTGGAAAGAGGTCTGACAGTTGAAGAAACTTGGAGGCTTTGACAAGAAAGAAAAGCAATAGAGAATTAAAAAATAGCAGAAATAAATCCTTATCATTCAGCTACTCATGAGTCATAGCTAGCCTGAGAGGATTTTTAGTTAAACTCTTCTGGGAGAACTAATATTTTATCTGTTTTATGCTAAACTCATTATTGAAGTAATTCTTTCTTCTGTGAAATCAAAATCACTTCTGTAGCAACCAATTGTGATGTCAGAAGTAGACTATTAATGAGTTTAAGTGAGGAACACACAGAGTGGAAATACACCTGCAAAGGTACACAATTTACAGGTGTAATTTGGGGTTTGAAACAGAACGAGAAAAGAAGATTAAAACACACACACTTGTGCCTCTGATTCTTTTAACTCTTTATTTTTGCTAACTCTTAAATAAGTAGCTAAATAAGACTTCATGACCTGGAGTTATTTGCTTTCTAACAAGTATTTCACGATGCCAACTCAGGTGCATGTGTCTGTATATTTGTTCTCTTACTCTTTCGGTAATACATTCTGACAACATGATGCAAATTAACTCCCCTAGTTCAAGTGAATTCTTTGACTAGAAACTGGTTTTTTCTCTTTACAAAAGATGCTAAAATAAGGTGCGTGTCAAAAATCCTCAGTACTATGAATGATGCAAAGTTTAATCAACACACATTGCAGTCACTGATTCCTGCCTTTTTGCACGTGGAAAGGTAATGGATATGCTCCATGCCATGGGACCAGAGACTGTGGTGATCACAAGCTCAGATCTACAAGGGCCTCTAGGAAACGACTATCTAATTGCTCTGGGAAGCCACAGAAAAAGTAAGCCATGAACTCCTTCGTTAAACTGTGCTTTCTTTTACCCTGTTCTGTGCTTTCAGTTACTTTTTTAAGAAGTAGTTTCATCAGACCTATCTGTAGTACATGGAAGGAGCTTAGATCCCGAAATGAACTTTTTCTACAGTAATATCAGAGCGTGGTAAAATGGAGGTGCTCCATGAGGGAAGATGAGCTGGGAGCTGAGCGTGATCATAGCACAGGCAGAGCACTACCCTCACCAACAGGGCACAGGCCCACAGTATCTAAATATGGTGAGCAGAACAGGGGTGGTGATGGTGGACAGGTCCCACTGACAATCCAGTGATCATCAGAGAAAGGTGACAAGCCACGTCCAAGATGAATCTGGAAAATCCAATCAGTGAGTCAGTACAGCAGGGCTGCATACAGGTGCACCTACAACATAGCTCAAGCAAGGATGCTTGCACCCAGGCCTGAGCTTCTGTGCCCCTCCTGGGCAAATGGGCAGAGGGCATGTGGGTGGAGGATGTCTTAGGTTGATCAGGGCTGTTAATGCCCCTAGTAGTGGCCCTGACAAGTAGTAGTGGTATAAAACAGGAACTTTGAATCTTTTGAATGCTTTTATGAAAAGTTGCACTGTCCTGTTAGAAGGTTCTTCCTCCTCTGATAGGTTGTAAAACGTCATTCTGCTGCTTCTTTATATCCCCTTCTATACTGTCATCAAGATTCACTATCTGTTTGGACTGTTGCAGGATGTTTTTACCTGAGAAAGGCATGGTTATGTGGGACGGTATATGATGTCATTTTTTTGTTCATCTAAGGGATGTAAATGTGGGCATCATGTTCTGGACTGCTGGGAGGCTGTAAAAGTCTTGATATTTAAAACAGATTCCACTAAGATTCAATCAGTGGGTCTTAGCACTCAGTATGTGCCAGGTCTGGAATAAGTCTGGTCATTCCAGTGGTGATTACAATATGGCACATGGATCGGATATTCTCTGCTGATGTATATAGCTGCCTTTGTGCCTCCATACAACCCAGAGATTATGGTTTGGGATGCCCCATCTAGGATTCAGCAGTCTCCATAAATACGCAGTTTCCTGAGCAAGCTGCTGCTGCTGTCTAGATGAAAATAGGTGGCTTTCAATCCTTTATGAAAATGGAGGTGCTAGCTACCTGCTCCCTTTTAAGTGAAATATGTACAGTATATAAATTGTAAATGCTATCCCAACTTGGCAAAGCTTTAAAAGGCTGCACCTTTTAAAAGAGCTGGTATGAAGTTTACAATACTTCTTAGCATCTCTATGTTCCAAACATCAAAGGAATTCAAATCTGGTGATCACTTTTAAATTATAGTAAATGCTATTGTATTAATCGCTGGGTCTGTTACTTAACTGTCTATCTGTGTTGTAGCTAAAGCAGATGGTACCAAGATGACACAAAGAATTCGAGTGGAGTCTCCTAAAGTGGATGCTGTCTTTGTTGGAACAGGAGACTTGTTCGCTGCTATGCTTTTGGCATGGACACATAAGCACCCAAACAATTTGAAGGTGTGGGAGAAGTTATTTGTCTCTCTGCAAGTTTAGATTTATGGGGGTTTTTTTTTATTACTTTTAATCTATGACATTATTTGAAGACTGTCTTCTGTTTTGGCTTTTTTTCCTCACTTCAGAGGAAAAAATTTTCCTTTTGCTTAAACATTTTAGTTTGTACAACTTTGGACGGTCATTTCAGTTACATGGATTTTGTAATTTTGCCAAATAAGATATTATTCTCTATATATAGAGAGTGAGCTTGTACATGATATAATTGATTTTTTTCCCTCACTTCATAATAAGCACTGAAAATCATTTATCAGATCTATTTTTCTGTTTCTTTCCCTTAAGCACATAGAGTTCTCCATAGGGGTATATGGTTTCTAACACGTGTTTCGGGAGAATTGAGAGTGTCTAAAATGCTTTTTCCCAAACTCTACATTACATAGTTGTCATCCTGTTTGAATTGTGTCAGTCATATTTGCCTCTTAATATTATTATTTCAAACCACTGCTATTAAACTAGGCAGCTGAAATTTTACCCGAATATATTATGCTAATACAGGTGGCCTGTGAAAAGACTGTGTCGGCCATGCAACATGTTCTGCAAAGGACCATTAAGAGTGCAAAAGGTAATTCATTCAAACCTTGTTCTCTTCTTCTGTCTGGATTTGCATCAGAAGAAACATGCAGAGAGCTTTCTGGGTTTCCTGACTAAAGGCAGCCCTCAGTGTAGAAGCAGCCAGAGAAATTACAGAATGAGAGCTTGGTAGTCTGGTCAGTGCATCTTCTTTACTGTGTCCTCCAAGCCTATTTTGACAACACCCGACTGAAGATGTCACTGTTCAGCTTGTAGTGGGACGACAGTCATGCTGACTGTGCTTGACTGCTTTGCAAAATAGTGGTGGAAGAATTTGAGGAAATGCTGAGTTTGATGTGCAAGAGAGCTTCCATTTTAAGTGTAGCTCGATCACTTTCCCTTTGAGTGTGCGTGTTTAGTATTGAGAGGGGTTTATCAACTGATAATAAACTGTTTGCTGTGTTGGCCATGTGAAGAGTGATTTTCTTTTTTCAGCTTCTCTCCCCTTGGAGTTCCCATGTCGTTCAATTCCTGAGGAGATCCAGATGGGATCTATGGGTTCTCAGAGCATGTCTATGTCACTTTCTAATAACAGCAGAGCCGTGTTTCTTTCCTGAAGAGAGGTGCAAACAGATAAGAAATCACAGTGGTGACCTGGATCTTCCACCTCGGAAGCCTTTAGCAGGGGGTAGTAAGGGAGATTGGGGAGGAGGGTGGAAAAAATAGTGGAGTAACAGAACAGTGTAACTTGGTTTTTTTATATACTGCTGTTTTTAACAACATTCTGATGTCATCTTTTTAGCACAAGCTGGAGAAGGAAACAAACCAAACTCAGCCCAGCTGGAACTGAGAATGGTCCAAAGCAAAAAGGACATAGAAAACCCAGAGATCATAGTGAAAGCCACCGTGTTATAAAGGCTGTACATCTCCAATAACGCACAATGTATTGATGTCCTCATTTCTTTCCTGTAAATTGTAATATTTGCCTTAGATCTGTGACAGAAACCTGACTTTCATGAAATAGTGCCCAGCATAGGCAGATATCCACTCTCAAACATATGTGCTGGCCTTGCTCAGTTTTAAAAACAAAACAGTTAGTATACATTGAAGCATATTACCAGGTATCAAAATGGCTGTCAAATTCACTTAGTCTGTGTAGTTACCCAGGGCAAGAGAGTACAATGTTCCTGCCTTGCCAAAGACTTTAGATGTGAATTTGCTAATAGAATGCTTGACTGACTGGAAAAGATTCTATTTCAAGATGGCATCTAGTGCCAATGGAGCTGGCTCCATGCTCCCTTTTCCTGGAGATACCTGGTTACCTACTCTGGTATTCAGGATTTCAGCTGCTGTGAAACTAAGCAGGGTTGAAACTACACACAAAGTTCAGGTTGTGTGTAGGAGTACTTTGAAGATGTTTGGCATTTAAGTACTCTGAAGTGACCTTGAGGTATCATTCATGTTACTGATAACGGCTCCTGTTTCTTGTCTGTGAACAGCTGCAGTTTTTGCAGGTACTGGTTGCTTATTTCTAATGTCCATGGGTGCCCACATGATTTTCTTCCAAAAGCTGCTCCAAAAACATCTTCATTAATAAGATAATATCTTTATTCAGTAGCACTAATTAGCAGTTTGTAGTTCTACCTCTGAGGCCAGGTTTGGTTGTTTTCTTTAGTTTTTAACTAAGGATGAACATTCTGTAAGGACAAAAGAAAGCAGCTCTTAGCCTGAAAGCTGGCTACCCTAGTTTGTTCTTTATGAGTGGATGTGCTTACAAACTGCGTAGGGCACTTTCACTTAACAGTACTGAGCCCTATTGGCAGGCTTATCAATGAAGCAATGTGTTAAAAGTAATACTTTTAGTTTAGTCAGGTTTAGTAAGTTACATGTGGTTACCACGTGCTGTGAAACAGACAAAATTAATTTGTTCATAATGTGAGTCTCTGCAGCCTACGCTGATTAGAGATGATGGAAATGCATTATTATTAATGCATCTTTATTTCAAAATTCTGCTTCATAAGGCTTCAAAATGGGATTCTTCATAATTTGAGCATCCTGTACATCACAACCACATATTATGCCAGTAGGGCAGATATACTGACAGGTACTGACTGCTTGTACTTCTGTATGATTTCTGTGTAGGACTGAGGTTCCTGCTTCTCCCAAGATGAGGTCTAGTGTGTTGTAAAATCCAAACTCAGTTGATGAGCTTTATTTGTCTCAGACAGCATAGGGAGATTAAAATTGCACTTCTCCTTGCAGTGACATGAAACAAATTTGCGTTAGAGGAAAGGGCTGAGTTTTTATTGTTTACCTGAGTATGTTCAGGAAACTCACTCTTGGGTCTGTCCTAGGTACCTTTCCTGCACTTTCCTTGTCATGCTTGCCTAACTGATAGTGTTGCTTGCACAGCTGGGCAGTCCCCAGAAGAGCTGGTTTGGAGATTGCTTTGGCCACTGAAGTCTTCTTATCCCACCACTTTTGTGGATTTTCTGCCATTGTAAAAGTTAATTGGTTTCACCTCCTAGAAGAGTACTTTATCCTTAAAGTGAATTTTTAGCTGAACTGATTTTTTTCATAAAGTAAGATTTCATAATGAATAGATTCCTAAAATCCCTCATTTTCAGTATCTCTGAAGCAAATTAAATTTAAGAGGTGAACACATCTTGCAGTAAATTGTAAGAGGCAATCTTCCTCTCATGCATTTGGCATTAAAAATGGGAAAAAAAATTCTTACGACTTGAGAATTTTAAGGGGAAAAAACCCCAACAGAAATGACCTACAAAACATTACTCTACTGACACAGTTTTTAGTAACCACTGCTATGAAATAACTTCCTAGCAATAATAATTTTGGTGATGTGAACAGTTGTTAAAATTAGCAGTCAGTAACAGAGATGAGCTCATGGCTGATATCCAGCCTGTAAAAAGACATGAACTGTCTTAACTGTGTATAGATATCCAATGGAAAGCAGTGAAGAAGAAGGAGCCAGGCTCTTCTCAGTGGTGCCCAATGAAGGGATAAGAGGCAACGGGCACAAATTGAAATACTAGAAATTCCATTTAAACATTTAAAAAAAAAAAATTCACTGTGAGGGTGATCAAACACTGACACAGGTTGCCCGGGGAGATTGTGGAGTTTCCATCCTTGGAGAATTTCAAAACCTGACCATACACGGCCCAGAGCAACCTGCTGTACTTGACCCTGTTTGTGCAGTGGGCTTGGACTAGACGATCTCTAGAGGTCCCTTCCAACCTCAACCATTCTGTGATTCTGAGTTGCCTTTCTTTGCAGCGCTGCATTTTTAAATTGATGCAATTTTTTTTTTCCTTCTTGAGACACAAACTTCCAGATAGACTAGGAAATAGCTCAGCATTAAAAATTTGCCCCCTTTTTAAATAAGCTGCTTTTTGCTTGGCAGTTGTGCCAGGAATACAGTTGCCTTTTTTGAGATAGTTGCTTTCAGCAAAGATAATTAAATACTGTAGCTGGTAATGCGTTTCAACAGATGAAAACAAAAGGATTTTAACAGTTTCTGGCATTGATTAAAGAAGCGTTGCATGCCATTTTCCAAACATAACTATGAGTTTATTATCTTTTAAAATTAGACTATTTCATGTGGAATTGTAAAATTCCTACCATCCTCTTGGGAAGAAGGGTTCAACATACTGAACTTCCCTGCCTGTACATATCATGGTTAACATTGTGGCATTATGCTTGACACCCTCACCGAGCTGTATCCAGTTTTGCAGCTCCTATGAGTCACATATAAAAATCTTCAGATGGCCAAGCTTTGAGACCTCTGCTGTGTCCCTCAGATTACCAAGAATTTAGATGAATCCGAGGAGCAGTTCACATGCAGTAAATCACACTTGCTTTCTGGGGTTCCATGGCTCAAGCACAGCTTAGCTGGGTATGGAAGTGGCTCCCGGTGCACTGCCTGCTACAGCCAGGGCTGTGCATTGCCCAGCACCCCCGCACCAGCATTAGCTTCGTTCCCAGTCACATAACACGGCCTGGGGCCAAATTGAGAGCCATGTGGTGGCCATCCCTGCACTCATGCAGTACAAAATTGAGGTTCTTCGGTTCTTCACATCAGGGGATCAACAGGAGAGAGAAGCTCAAAGTTGGCGTTGTAATTTTTTTTTTTTTTAAGCAGCATTAAGTATGCACTGTCGAAATTTCCCATCAAAGAAACTCCACCTGTTGTAAGCACGTACACATGGGAAAAGCCCTTTTAGTAAGTGTGAGACGGCATAGTTGTTTTTGGCACTAAAAAAACAGACTTTCACAAGGAAATTGAGAGAAAGGCAGGGCTAGTTTTCTCTGAAATAAAGCAGCTTGGAATTTAGGAAACTTAAAGTTACCTTACAGACAAGGTTTCATCTATAAACCATAATGAACCTTGATCTTGCCAGAACAAAGGGAGTGAGATGTTTGCTGGAACAGTTTATACCTGTCAGGTGTGATCTCTTCCCAGTGCTTCAAAGAAAGAATCAGCCCAGTAATTCACCCTTTCCTTAGAATCCATGACATATCCATGCTTAAAAAAAAAAAAAAAGGACAATGATACTACTGTGCTCAATTTGCAAATGTTCTTCTTTTACAGTAGCTGGATTCTGTAGCAATGGGCTTCTGGCTTCTGCTTAAGTCCCTGGAAGTTACTCGTGATACTTGTTTTAAACTCCCACTGACCTGATCTAAATTAGGTCAGGTTTATGTCTTCAATGAAGAATTGGGCTTAACATGTCTTGCCAGGAACAAACATCAGAAGTTATGTGTAAATATAGTCTGTAGCTAACATTTTGTAGTCACAACAGCCTAACAGGTATTTTTAAATGTCAAGGTATACACACTTAGATACATTTTTATTTGTTCAGAGTTACACAGCACTTTTTCATAATGTTTGCAGAAAAAAATTCAAAGCCTCAGCACAGTCCTGGCCAATCTTCTGCTTGCTCCTCTGCTCCTGCGTATAACATCTGTATCTATTTCTGAATTCTTACTGTCTTTCTGGTGCGGCTGGGAAGTGTCTCAGTATTAGACAGCTGCCCACTATTTATTTAAGGGCTTGGAGGAGGCTTATCAGGGTTGTCTGGTCCACTTGCAGATCCTTACATGCAGAAAAACGGTTAGTCAAAACTAGTTTAGGTCCCAGTTGTTTACAGAAGAACAAGCAATTTAGCCCAGAGAGTGGAGTCAATAACTAATGGATAATCTTCCATGATCATCCTGACAGCATGAAAGGTGTCTGTAACCCACCAGTCCAGCATTCACCAGTCAGGGACTGCTAACTTCGCTGCCATGCGTACTTGCTCCCCTGTGTACGCGTGAAGTTAGCAGCAAAGGATGCTCCTAATGCTGAAGCAGATGTACACATGGGAGTGGTGAATGTTTTGCATCCAGTCGACTTCCCCACCATTCTTTCTCTTCACTTACTACAAGTAATTTGCGTTGGATCCCTTTTTTTCTGGAATGAACTTTGCGGTGTATGTGGTCAGCCATTTTGATTACTGCAAGTGCACTCGTGTGGAGCCATCATGCAGGAGAGGCCAAAAGTTGTTTACAAACGATCATCTACTCTATTCTGGGCCCGGATTAGTCTCTACATGCTTTAAATTCCCCTTCGGGAGATATGCATAAAGACATCATGCTAAGATCAATGCTATTCATTCTCGATATATACTTTAGAAATCTGCAATATGAATTGTTAACCTTAATGTTTGTTTGCTGATTTTTATTGTAAGTGGAAGAAACCTATAATCAATGTGTTATACAACAGAATCAGAGGACCAAGGTTTCCAGCTACTCATACTGCCTTTTTGAGTATCTTAACTGTATCTTGATTGGATGGTGTTAATTTGTTGTCTGAGACTGTTACGGTGATTGTATTGATTTATTTTATTTTTAAATATGTGGCAAGGAAGATTGTAATAAAAGCATCTACATCTAATATACTGTGCACACACAAATTGTTAGATCCTATTTTTGAATATGTTAATCATTTCAAAATTAAAAACGAGAACAGTTTGATAGTCTTGCTGAATAAAGTGGATGTAATTAAAGGTTTTCCTAGTTATATCCTAGTGTAGAGAAAGAGTAGTTAATGGAAGAGTGCACTCTAATCATGTCATTGTAA